GTAGCCCTCAGTCCTTCCTGCCCTGACCTTGACCACCTCGTCTGCTCCCAGCACTCCCCAAAGCACCCCACTCTGCAGCAAGGCCACAGCGGTCTTTCCCTAATCATGCCATCCGCGTCTCTTTTTTCCACGCTGTACTGCTGCCTAGAATGTCCTTCCGTCCTTTTTGCAGTAGGCAAAATCCAGACTCAACTCACGTGCCATCTCCGTGAGGCGCTTTCTGTGACCCACCACGCCTGTTCCGGGGCAGTTACCCGCCCTGGACTCTTTCCTCCGGACTCTTACTGTCGCTGGCTTTAAGCAGGCTTGGGGGTGGTCACTGTGTGGTGGCTGCTGCACCTGCCTAGCGCTCCTAAATAAGGGGGTTCCACCTCTGTACTCCTGTATTTCTCAGAGTGCTGAGCACGTCGGATGTTCAAACACTGACCAAATTAAATTCACTCACTCGTTCATGTATTCGGTCAATAAATATTTATTTAGACCTTGCTGTATGCAAAGCATAGTTTTGGGTGCTGGGAGTGGGGGTGTAAGGATGCTTTACTGGAATCTACTAAGGAGCTGAGATATGTACACTCAGCCCTGGCCACTGCGGCTCAGTGGTTGAGCGTCGACCCCTGCACCAGGAGGTCGCCAGTTCGATTCCCAATCAGAGCACATGCCCAGGTTGTGGGCTTGATCCTCAGTCGGAGGTGTGCAGGAGGCAGCCAACCGATGTTCTCTCATATTGATGTTTCTCTCTCTCTCCTCCCTCCTTTCCTCTCTCTTGAAAAATCAATAAACTATTAAAAAAAAAAAAAAAAAAAAAGATGTGTCCACTCATAGCTGTGCACCTGCCCACACGTGAGAAGCGCCGTGTGAATGCTGCAAAGAGCACAGGGGCTCCCCGGAGGGACGTCCCAGCGCAGTGTGCCTGTACCCTAACAATCCAAGAGGCCCCCGGGGCCCTGGCCGGGAGGGGCTGACGTCTGGCTGAATGCCAAGCCTCGCCAAGCACGCGCTTCCGCTCTGCTAAGTTCTGCCGCACAGAGTCATCTCAGCTCCCACCGCCCTTCAAGGTCCCAGGTCCCTTTGTGCAGGCCTCCCTGCCCGCCCCAGGCCGCAGGGACATTGGTTCCCTCCCCTAGACTCCTCCGGCACTCACTCCCCTGCCGAGCACGACCCGCTCCACTGGTTATTTTCTATCTATAGGTCCTGCTATTTGTATCCATCCCGGCGGGAAACAGAGAGCGCACTCTGACTGGGCCCACTGAGTTTTAAACACACTGCGTCTATTTACAAAGGTGTGGACAGGCCAGAGAGGAACCAGAAGGGCCGCACCTCAGGGCCCGTAACAGGACACCTGTCACACCCCTTGGATGGGGGTGAGAGGAAGCACGATCCCTGGATCCTAGATCAATTGGGTCTGCTGGACAGGTCCTGACTTTCCATCCACAGCCCCCAGGGAGGGAGCAAGTCCCCACTGTGCCATCTACTGATCTCCTACCAGAGCTTCCCCTTGGCCAGACCCAACTGGTAACCAGGGAGCAAGGGAGGCCTCGGTGTTTCTCTGGGGCAGAGAGACGGACAGGGCGGGTCTGCGGGCAAACAGCTGACATCAGCCCCCTGTCCAAACAGGAAGCATGTCTCCCTGGGGCTGGCCCTCTGCCTGGCTCACGATGTACCCATTGATCATCACGTTCTCATCTCATTAACAATACTGACTTGTGACATTGTTTCTCACGTTTGCTCAGGGACAGACTCATTCAAATCAAAAGAGACCTGTGGACGGGTTAAAAGCCTGGGACTCTGGAAAGAGCATGAGCTAGAAGCCAGCTCCACCAGCCTGTGACTTCAGGCAAGTTACACGGCTTCTTTGCCCTTCAATTACTTTGCCAGCAAAAAAAAAAAAAAAAAAGTCTTTCAGAAGATTGTTACAAGAACAAAGAGACAGTTTATACAAAGCATTTAAGACAGTGCCAACCACATAATGCTCAATAAATATTGTAAATTATTGTTGGTGCTTAATCAACCTTTCCCGAACCCCTGTGAAGCTGTGCCCATGAATAGGCCGTGGCCCCAGCTGTCCTGGGACCCCCCCTCGGGCAGGGCTGGCTTCCTAGCCAGCACCCTGGGCTCTGTTCCCACCATCCTCCCCCCTTCTTCCCACCTCCATAGCTCCCGCCAGTCCATATCCTGCGCCTCGGGGGCCCGAGAGGTGACCGGGAACTGGAGCTGCTTCCTGCCAACGCCAAGGCTGACCCAGATGCCAGGGCTGACCTAGAGCAGCCCGCCCACCCAGCGCCGAGACCCAGTGCCAGCCACGCGGATGCTCAGGGATTCACCCCCGGCTCCCGCGGACTCTGGGCTCGCCCCCCGACCGCCCCAACCTATGGAACACTGAGGCCCGGGGGTCCCTTCTCGGGGCAACAGTGTTTCTCTCTCCGGGGAAGAGCGCATCACTTGCCCTGTCAGCGTCTAGAGAGGGAGGCTGGGGGCGAGGGGCTGCCGGAATTCCAGGCTCCCCCCCAACTCCGTTTGACATCACTCCCCGAGTGGTACCAGGAACGGGAGCTCATCAGTCCACTTGAATTTTCTCTAAACAGTAGAGGCAGCACCGACACAGCCCCCACTTGGGAGCTTGAAAGGGGTGGGGGCTTTGCCCTTCATCATCGTGTCAGCCCAACCTCATCAGGTCATAAACAGGGCCCTGAGAAGGAGGGGGTGAGGCGACGGGGTGATGGACTGCTTTCTCTGCAGCACAGTCAATTAATAAAGGAGTTTAAAGGGGCCATTGTGTTATTCCACTTATGAGAGGAATGTGACCTGGGGCCTTGGTTCCAGGTACCTGCTCTCAGCAGCTCTGGCGTTGCTGCTGTGATAAGGGAGGCTCTGGGGAGTAGGATCAGTCTGGCGTCCTGCAAGCGCTTACGCAGAGTGGCCTGCAGGGCCCACAGCAAGGAAACTGGTCAGCAGGTTCATCTGAGGCTCTTCCCCAACCCTCTGCTGTTCTCCCACAAGCCCCAGGCTGCTCTGCAGGGCTCAGGCCTGTGAGGCACAGGCCCTCCTGTCTGCTCTGCACCCTGTTCTCTGCCCTCTAAGACGTGTCCAAGCTGATCTGATTCCCAGCCCGTGTGGATGTGGCCATGTCAGGCACGAGGTGTGCATGGACAAGCTACCCTAACTTAGCCTCAGGGTTTGTGCCAGCATCATTACAAAAGTCCAGGACTGGGCAGATGCTTGAGGGCACCATCGAGGGTAGTCTTTCTTAGCCCTGGCAGGTTTGGCTCAGCAGTTAAAGCATCGGCCCGTGGACTAGAGAGTCCCGGGTTTGGTTCCTGCAAAGGGCACGTACCTCAGTTGCAGTTAATCCCCGGCCCCTGTGGGGGTTGTGTGGGTGGCAGCTAGTCATTGTGTTTCTCACATGGATGTTTCTCTCTCTCTCTTTCTCCCTTTCTCCCTCCTGCTCTATCTGAAGATAAATGCAAAAATGTCCTCAGGTGAGGATTTAAAAAAGTGTTCTTTCTTAGACATTCATTCCTTGAACTTAAATACTGAGTCTTCAGAAGTTCTCATACTAGGAGAGAGAAGGACCTTCTCTCCAGGTGGCCGCATGTTCATTCCAATGGCATGTTTCCAGAAACAATGGCCCTACCTTGCCTGGAGTGCCCGAGCCCTGGCACAGAGTGGGTCATGCCTGCTTGAGGAGCCGCCGCTCTAGGCTGGCCCCTGGGAGACCAGATGGTTCAGGGCAAAGAGCGACAGTCCGAGGGTCAGCAGCTGCGGGCCACTAGCAGTGTGAGCTGGAAGAGGACACTTCCTCTCTCGGGTATCAGTTTCCCAACAGTAAGAGGAGGTGCATCCAGCCGGCGTGGCTCAGCGGTGGAGCATCGACCCTGCACCAAGAGGTCGCCGGCTCGATTCCAGGGCAGGGCACATGCGCAGGTTGTGGGCCTGATCCCCAGTGAGGGGCATGCAGGAGACGGCCAATCGGTGTTCTTTTTCATCAATGTTTCTATCTCTTTCTTCCTCTCTCTCTAAAATCAATAAAGGAAAAAAATTTTTTTAATAAATAAATAAAATGAGGGAGGAGGCGGATGAGTGGTCCCCAGGCTTCCTCCCGGCTCAAGCGCCCAGCTGAGCATGGGCCTATCCTCCAGGACAAGGAAGAACCTGGCCGCAGGCCCCGTGGCAGGGAGGTGAGGGCAGCCCTTGTGCATTTCTAGGTTAAAGAATCCCATACCTGCTTCCAGGCTGCTCCCCTAATTCTCCCCTCCTGTCCTCGGGCCCCCGCCACCAGCCCAGCCTCAGGGTTTTATTCCCCCTCTGGACCATGTGGACTTGGCCCTCGCCCACACCCAATGGTCTTCCAGCCTTTTAAATTCATGCAGAAGCAAGGTCTTTTGCCACCAGGATCTGTCCTTTAACTTGAGGTTGGACATGACCTGTTTGTTTTGTTTTTTTTTAATTTTTTTTCTTTATTGGAGAGGGAGAGAGAGAGAGAGAGAGAAACATCGATGAGAGAGAACATAAATTGGCTGCCTCCTGCATGCTCCCCTCTGGGGATTTGGCCCACAACCTGGCATGTGCCCTGACCAGGAATCGAACCAGTGACCTCCTGGTGCATGGGTCGATGCTCAACCACTGAGCCACACAGGCTGGACATGACCTTTCCAGGAGCCATCTCTGATGCCCGTGCACGCCGACCCTGAGCTAGCTCTGGGCTCCTGGAGCCATGGAATCTCCTCCCGTCTGTGCTGCAACTGGGCCTCCCTGCAGCCCTTCCTCATGCCCCCTGTGCTTTCTCTCCAGAACCTCAGAACCCCACCTGGGGTTACAGACCCTCACCTACGCTGGGCGGGGAGCCCCCGCACCCCACATGCTCCTTGGCGATCATCTTCTCTTCTGGTAGTTCAAGACCACATTAGTCAGGACAGGGGCCAAGACCAAACTCTTTTATAGGAAGTTTCTTTTTCATTCCGATCAACAACTACGACAGCATTGGGTCACCATCCCATACTCACATCAGCTCCTCGCTTACAGGACAGGCAGACGCCAACTCGAAGCCATTCTAGACTTTCTGCATGAAAAGGCTCTACGACAGTCTCTGGGTAGAAGAACATCAAAGCACCTTCCAGAGGCCGCTGCCATCAACCTCAAATCCCAGGACATCCCGAGGTTCGCACACTACAAAGAAAACGTGTGAAAGCCAACACTTACAATTTCTCAGACACATATGGCCCTGGCCTGAGCACGCTTTCATCTGTAATCACTTTGGCAAAGGAGAGGTCAGAGGGTTCTTTTTCTTAAAAACCACCTTGATCTTGCCATGCCCTGGGTTGATATCCTATCCCTTTACCAAATATTGAGTGGGGGGAGGTGATGAACACTCAGGGCAGGAGGCGTGAACAAGGCAGCTGATGTCTGAGAGTTTCTCTCCCAAGTTCAAGGACTGGGGGCAGAAAGTTAAATGAGGTGGGAGGAAAAAATGAAAATACCCACCCTACCCACCACTCCCTCTCTTCCATGCAATGACTCCTCACGTTTTGTAGGTGTGCTTCCCCAGCCACGGGGTGCGCGGGCGTGCCTCCCCCAGCCACGGCGCGCAGGGGGGTCCCCAACAGGAAACCGTCATGATTTTGTGTTTGCCAGTGATTCGTAACTCAGCATAAGTTCATTTTTCTAATAAACTAACACCTAAAGAATTACTCTCCACCTCAACACAAACTGTCCCCCAAGAAGGCTAAACAAATTCTCTTTCACATATCATGGATCCTAGAGAAGGGAAGTGGCTTGACCCCAAGTGCGAATATCTGAATTTACAACACAGACAAAATGCTTCTTAACCAAAGCATGTCAGCATTACATTAATACATATACTTAATCTTTCCAAACAAGGATGACTATGATCAACGGTATGGCTGGCTGGTTCTCCAAGTTCCAGTGCACCAGGAGACTGCTGAGAAACAGGTTCTTTAAGAACAAGGAAAGAGCCCTGGCCGGTTTGGTTCAGCGGTTAGAGCATTGACCTGCGGTCCTGAGAGACCCGGGTTCGGTTCCCGCTAAGGGCACGTAACTCAGTTGCAGCCACTCGATGTGTTCCTTTCACATCGATGTTTCTCTCTCTCTCTGTTCCTCTCTCTCTCCCTCCCACTCTACCTGAACAAAAAATGGAAAAATGTCCTCGGGTGAGGATAAAAAAATAAAATAAAAGAACAAGGAAAGAAAATACTAGTTGAGTAATCAATACTCCGAGGAGACAGTTCCAGGTAGGTACATAAACTGGTACCAAAAGTTTTACATAAAATCACAGAGTGTGTCCACTGTGGGATATTAGTGCAAAATGGAATTTGGAGGCCAAATCCCTGATCTTAAGGGTGACATTAGGGAGAATGATCACCCACAAATGCAGGACACTCCTTATCAGGGACACAGTCAGGCCGCTGTGGCATTTCCTACGCCCTCACGGACACCAGAGACCCTCCATTCAGCCGGATGCAGCCAGAAATTCCCTCTTCTGTCTGTCTGCCAAGGGCCTCTGCCTGGGCCCACTGGTCAAACAGGGGGAGGCATTTTTTAATTTTGCTGCTTTTCTGTCTCTTTGTTCTTCCCTGTGCCTCATTATCTTGAGATGTCTTTAATATCTGAGCAGGCCTGGAACATTCCTCCTCCTCGTCTCCCACACGGCTCTGCCAGCCGGCATGGAGGAGCACTGCTGGAGAAGGAGCCAGCTGGCCCGCGTCTCCTGCTGGGGCAGCGGGCTCAGCCCCAGGGCAGGAACTGGGAAGAGGCTCCTGCAGACTCCACAAAACCCATCATCCACGGGAAATGGGATTTTTAAAAACTATGTTTTTATTGATTTGAGAGAGAGAGAGAGGAAGGGAGAGTGAGAGAGAAAGAAACACCCATGCAAGAGAGAAACAAATGTCAATTGGCTGCCTCCTGCATGTACCCAACCTGGGACTGAGCCCGCAACCTAGGCACATGCCCTCGCTGGGAATCCAATCAGCGACCTTTGGGTGCATAGATCATGCTCAACCAACAGAGCCACAGTGGCCTGGGCAGGAAATGGGGTGTTAGCAGAAATGAAGTCTGTCCGGCTGACAATATTTCTGCCCCACCCTGCATGTGTGTCCACACACACACACACACTTGGACACCCTGAGTTCTGCAGCCAGCAATGCCTGAGTCATTGTGTCCCATGGGTCGTTAGGTGGGAGGAGGTCTGAGGCGGGAGGGTGGTATTCTAGGTTGGAACATGCCAAATCAGGGGTTTTCCTGCAACTCAGTATGAAGCTAGGAACACACCCCCACGGACAGGATATTACTTTTACCAACGGTGAGGCCCCAGCTGGTTAGCATTCAAGTGACAACTATAGAACACCCAGATCTCCCGAATGATTCTCAAACCATTGGGTTTCCTGTCCGCCCAGGCGGGAGGCAGGGAGGTTGGTATAGTCAAGTCCGGGTGGAGCACTGTGCTGAGACGGAGGCACCAGGCGGAAGCCGCCCCCCCGCCCCCACCCCCACGAGACCCCAGGCTTTTCAGCAGAGCCACCACCAGTCAGGGGCCAATCACAGTCGGCTGCCAGTGGGCCTTTAACTAATCAAATTCTGTGAGGGGCCCAGCAAGGGGCCGGGGCTATCCCTAGGAGGTGGCACCCAGCCACGCCTTCAGCCCGGGTGGTGTCTGAGCCACCTCGCACAGGCAAGCACGTGGGTGCGAGCCCAGGATACAGCAGAGCTCCTAGAGCACAGACCACCTGGGAGCTGGTGAGGCTGGAAAAGCAAACAGGACCAGGTCACAGAGCACTTGAATGCTGTGATGAGAGTTTGGGTCTCACTCACTGTAGGGAGAGTTTCCAGAAAAGGTTTGCGAGTAAATCACAGACCCCAAAGGCTGACAGCCTAGGTTCAAGTCCCAGCTCAGCTGCTCTCCGGCTGTGTGGCCTTGAGAGAGATGGCTTAGCTCTCCGTGCCTCGGTTTTCTCATCTGTTAAATGGAATAAGATGTACTTTTTCCCCCACACACATTTTTTTAAGTTTACTTACTTGATTTGAGAGAGAGAAAGAGGAAGGGAGAGAGAGAGAAACATCGATGTGTTGTTCTGCTTGTTTATGCATTCATTGGTTGCTTCTTGTACGTGCCTGACTGGGGATTGAACCCATGACCTTGGTGCATAGGGACAGTACTTTAACCCACTGAGCTACTTGGCCAGGGCACCCACACATGTTAACACAGTTGTCATCAGCTGTGCGTGCATATCAAAAATTACACAGCCCAGCCAGTGTGGCTCAGTGGTTGAACGTCGACCCATGCACCAAGAGGTCGCTGGTTCGATTCCTGGTCAGGGCACATGCCCAAGTTGTGGGCTCAATCCCCAGTGGGGGGCATGCAGGAGGCGGCCAATCAATGTTCTCTCTCATCGATGTTTCTATCTCTCTCTCCCTCTCCCTTCCTCTCTAAAATCAATAAAGAGAAAAATTAAATTTAAAAAATTACATGATGTCACTCATTCTGAAGAAAAGCTTGAAGAAATACTCATTAGTTTTAATGGCACAGAGACTATTATGTGGGGAAAAAACATAGATATGGCCGATGGCTCAGCGTTTGAGAACAATCCAGAAGGGTGGAACTCTGGAGAGGAGGACATTTTAAGACTCCCCGGACTGATTTATTTCATTTATAATTTTTTCCGTATGCACCAGATAGATTTATGATTTTGAAAACCCATGTCTAAGAGAGTCTAAACGATCTCTTACATTAAATAGAAAATAAAAGCTTTAAGTGATACAAAAGCATTGGGTTATAATTTTTCTTTCTTAGTGCTATAGAAATAAGGTGCATCTTATAGTCGATGACATCGTCAAGTCAATGAGATAGGATTATAATCCACATACCTCATAAAACTGTTAGGAGGATAAAATGAGTTAATCTTTATAACGCACTTAGAATGGTGCCTGGTACAGAATGATTGCAATATACGTGCTGTCCGATCATCTGATTTGTGTCCTAGAAACGTCCACGGCAGGGCTGTGCATTGGGAAACAGGGCAGGAGACCCCTGCCGTGGACGGGGAGAGCCCGTGTTCATCACAGCCGTGTGGACAGACGGAGTGACTGGCGGACTGGAGACAGTTTGGGAGGTAGGTCCTCACACACCCCTGTTTATATGGGGAAGAGGAGGAGCTGAAAACAACACTGAAGTTTCTGGGGGGGCCACAACGCAAAGCATTCACCTGAGACAGGAAATCCGGAGAAGCCGGTTGCGGGAAGAGCAGACTGGCTTAGTGCGGGGCATCCAGGTGGAAGTATCTGGCAAGAAGCTGGAAATGAAGGTCCAGGGCTCAACAGACACATCCAGACCTGTGGAAAGGACAAAGGCAGGAAAAAAGAAGGAGAGAGTGAGGGAGAGAGGAGGAAAAGAAGGAAGGTAGGAAGAAGGAAGGGAGATGAACCAGTTCCTGCCCACCACACATCGCTTACGTCACTATTGATCACTCACCCCAGCCTCTCTAACACTTTTTTAATAACAGTTATTTGTGTAGTTGTCAGTCTCTCCCACTAAACAGCAAGCTGAGGACAGGGACCCTGTTCCCTCATCCCTGTAACTCGGTGTTGAGCCCAGAACCCAGCACATACTGAGCTAGTCCATGAACATCTGTGGGTTCCACGCTCTTCAAGGGTGGAAGCTTTGAAGCACTATCTTCTGGTTCATTTGCTCTCCACTCTGCTACCTCAGTCTGTGGTTGGTGACTACAAAACACAGCGACTAGGATCTAATGGATTATGAGGGAAATACAGGCTCCTTGCCTTCATCAATGCTCAACCGGGTGAGGGGAGAGGAAAGAGAGGCCATAAGACACAAGCTAGAAGAACACAGGCGGTGAAAGGAGAGAGAAATGAGAACCTCCCAGGCTCCATCAGATCTGCCAGGAGTCCACTGCTGTCCCTTGCTGTGACCTCTGTGTCCCCCCCAGGAAACCCCATCCAATCAGCTTTCTAGTTCAAGTTTATCACACCCCCAGGCAGTGTCTGAAGGGTTGGGGTGGGGGGAGCAGAGCCTTGATCCCAGGAGCTTGGCTGCAGGGCCTTCGACCTCTCCATGCTGGGCGACAGGGAGCCCAGCCCTCACCTCGGTGGGTGGACCTCAGTTTCCTCATCTGTGCTCTCAAGGGGTGGGAGGGGTGAATGCGGCTCCTTCTTGACTCTAGTCTCTGATTCTCTCTGCCCTCTCCTCTGCCCCCCTCACACCCCCAGAGAGCTGGCTGCATGACAGGAATGTGCCTTCCTGGTGCTGGGCCCCTGTTGTCAGGGACTTGCCGTCTCCCCCACCCACTGCATCTCTATTTCTCTTGCAGCCACCGCCCTCCCCAGGCTCTGCTCTGCTCCGAACCACAGCGGGTCGACATCATCAGGGTCGGCCCTCTGAGGTCTTTCCTGAACCCCCACACCCCGTGACCCGGAGGCCTGGCTGCCCGGCCCGTGCATGCTCCTGGGACCACGTCATTGTTCTGGATGAGTCGCTGTCCAGTTCAAGGAGAAACTCTAAAACGGAAGTTTGGAGCCACCCCCGGGACACACCCTCCGCCAGAACGGACTTTCTCAGGAGCCCCCGTTCTTAGGGCCAACCAGTCTTACCCTGCCGGCCCGGCACAGGCCGACAAAGTGGGCAGGCGGCGGGGACTGAGCCCGGCCCCAGAGAGGCAAAGGGAAATGGGCACTGGGCGCGATCAGGGACATGCTGCCCCCCGCTCCACACCACCACCGTTCCATGGATGCCCAGGAGGAATCCAGGCTCTGGGTCTGGTCTTACTCACCCCTTCCTGCCCCAGGCCCATCACACACATGCTGGGGCTCCTAGCAGGCCACCACGTGGTCTGTCCCGGGGTGCTCGGTCCGCCACAGAACTGGGAGACTTCCCCCAACCCCAAGGCCTGGTCCACCTCCTCTCCTCCTTTGCTCTTGCTCTGCCCCAGCCTCTGGGAGGGGCACAGTCACCCTACTTCCCCAGAGCTGGAAAGGGGGAGCTGAGATGCTGACGGGGAAGGGACACCAGCAGTCACTGGGACCAAAGAAAGTTGGGGTCTGAGAAGCACAGGGTTGCACCTGGAAGCTGTGGGCCACTGGGGGCCATTACAGCCCCCCGAGACCACGGGGCTTTGCCAGGAGACCCTGGAGCAGAGTTAGGGCTGGGACGGGGGGGGGAGGGATGTTCATAGGAACAAGTAGGCCAGAACTCCATAGGAAACCACGTGTTGTCACACGAAGTGGTGTGTGGGGGCAGGGGGAGCCGTCCACACGGGGACCTGAGGAACGCAAACCCCAAGGCCCGGAGATATGTGCAAGAATGGGTCCCTGGCCCTGGCCAGTTTGGCTCAGCGGTTGGAGCGTCTGCCTGCGGTCCGGAGAGACCCGGGTTCCATTCCCACTAAGGGCATGTACCTCGGTTGCAGTTTGTCCCCGGCCCTGGTTGGTCGTGGGGGTGGCAGCCACTCGATGTGTCCCTTTCACATCGATGTTTCTCTCTCTCTCTCTCTCTCTCTCTCCCTCCCTCCCACTCTATCTGAACAAAAAATGCAAAAATGTCCTCGGGTGAGGATAAAAGAAAATAAGAACGGGCCCTGGAGGGCGACGGTGGGCTAGCCGCCCGCGGTGGTTCAGAGATGAAACCCTCGGGGGAGCCAGCAGGAATGGCCTTGCCTGGGCGAGCGGGGGCAGAGTGAGCGGCACGCGGTTGCAGCTCAGAGAGGAACGTTCAGGAAAGTTGTTTTCAATCCACTGTACGGCTTGTGCTTGGCCTATCCGGTGGCCACGATCCTCCTTCACTCAGGTGCACTGGACAGTCAGCTGAGAGGCTGGTCAGGTCCATGCTCCTTGCGGGGAGACATCTGTGTTCACCCTTGTTCTAGCAGTGTGGGAACTTAAAAGGTGTAAAAACCCATCAGAACAGCTGTGAGCCTGCCACCCGCCCCACGCCCACCGGGGTTTGTACCCCGCACCTGGCCCAGCCCGGAAGGTGGTTGCTGGGCTGCAATGACGTGAGCACCACATCACGGAGGATGAAACAGCAGTCAGCTCAGTGCTTCTCCGCTATCGGGGTCCTGATGACCGGGTGGAGGGCACTGCCCTGGCCACCTGCTACTTCCTGGGCACTGACGAGCTGGTCGCGAACCAGGGCTGGCCCCTGGGGAGCAGCTGGGCCCTGCTGTGCTTTCAGAACAGATTGCCTGGCATCAGCAAATAGCACCAGCAAGGGTCATCGCAAACCAGGAACAAAATAAATAAATAAGGAGAAACCGGTGACAGCTGCCTGCCATCATCCTAATTTAAAAAAATACGCAGTTCACCACAGTCAGCTTTCTGCTGCCCTCTGATACCCCGCACACATGCACATGCACATGCACGCAGGCACACACATACATGCACACACGCAGGCACACACACGCAGGCACACACACGCACGCACACGCACGCACGCAGGCAGCTGGCCCCCTGCGGAGGCATGCAGGGCACAGCCTGGAGAGAGGCTCTGGGGCCGCAGTGTGGCCCAGCTCTGAGCTCCCGCGCCCTCTCTGCCTTCACCTGCCTGCGCTGCTGGCCATGTCCTTTCCAGAAACTGCCAGTTGACCTCTCCACCTCAGGGCTTCCAACCTGGCTGCTCGCAATGGCTGGACAACTCTCCTGTCAAATGTCCTCACCGCCCACTCGGTCACCCCATCAAATGTTGCTCGAAGATCACCCCTTCCAAAGGCCTTCCCCACACACCCCGTCTAGAACAGCACCCATGCAGCCGCCACCGTCTACCCTTTGTTCTGTTTCCATTTCTTCAAAGCACTCACCTCTACGTGAAATTACATTATATTCTTGTTCTCTGCTGGTTTGTTACGGTTCCCCTCTATCCCCTGTCCCCCACCCCCCAACCTCCTAGCCTCAGTCCGGCACGGTCAAACACCCTGAGGACGGGACTGTCCTGCTCCCTGCTGTCTCCCGAGCTGCTTGAACAGTGCCTGGTACAGAGGAAGCTTTCAGTGAACACACAGCCACTGAATGAAGGAAGTGTTACTCCTTACACACCAAGATGGCCCATCTGACTCACCATCAGATCTTGAGCTGCTGTTTCCAGTAAAGGGTGAGGTGGGGAGAGTTCCTAGTCCCTGTCGTCACAGGTCACCTACCAGTTGGCGGCACAGGAATGACGTCACCCTGACTTCCTTCTGCCGGGCCCTCTGCTAGGTTCTCTGCACGTTCTACGTGGATCCCTTACAACAGTCTACGCTTTAGCGCTCTCGGCCCCATTCAGCAGATGAGAAACCAGGGCTCGGAGAAGGACCTGTGTTCCCCACGGAGAGCCTGGACTTAAACTCGGATCTGTTTGACTCGAAGCTCAGCCACAGAGAAGCTTTTTCCTGGGACTAAACCAGCGATTGCTGTAGGATCCAGCAACCCTGCTTCTGGGTATTTATGCAAATAAAATAAAAATATTAACTCCAAAAGCATCTGCATGCCCCTTGCTCACTGCACTATTTGCAGCAACTAAGACATGAAAACAACCGAAGTGTCCATCGATGGATGAATGGATAAATAAATGTGGTATAGACAATGCAACATTATTCAGCCATAAAAAGGGGAAACCCTGGCATTTGCAACAACATGGGTGGCCCTTGAGGGCATTATGCTAAGTGAAGTAAGTCAGAGAGAGACAAATACTGTATGAGCTCATTTATAGGTGGAAACAAAAACAAACTAACACGACCCAAGAGCACACATACAGAGAACAGATTGGAGGCTGCTGGGGTGGAGGGAGGTCAGGGGTATCGAATGGGAGATGGAGATCAGAAAGTACCATCTGCCAGATAGAAAATAAATAAGTCATGGGGATGCGATAACATACCATAGGGTGACTATAACTGATAAATCTGTATTACATATTTGAAAGTTGCTAAAAGAGTAAATCTTAAAAGTTCTCATCACACCCCGGCTGGTTTGGCACAGCAGTTATAGTGTTGACCCTCGGACCGAAGAATCACAGGTTTGATTCCGGTCAAGGGCACGTACCTTGGTTGCAGTTTGGTCCTCGGCCCTGCCTGGTTGGGGTCGTGCGAGAGGCAGTCAATCAATCTGTTTCTCTCACATGAATGTTTCTCTCTCTCTCTCTCTTTCTCTCTCTCTCTCTCTCTCCACCTCCCTCCTTCCCATTCTATCTGAAGCTAAATGGAAAAATATCCTTGGGTGAGGATTTTTTTAAAAAAGTTCTCATCACAAGAAAAAAAAACTTGTAACTATGAATGGAGACAAATATTAACTAGACTTATTGTCGTGACCATTTTGCAACGTATACAAATATCAAATTATGTTATACACCTAAAACAAATATAATGTCCTATGTTTATCATACCTCGATTGAAAAAGAAAAAGAAAACCAGAGTGATTGCCTCATCCCTACTAAAACCTCCCTCTCCCCTGGGACAATAGGGCAGGTTTCCTGCTGGGCACTCGCGAGGTGGAGGCAGCGCCCCAGCCGCGGGCAGAAGCTCAGTGCAGGGCGCTAGCAGGGACACCACTGGCAGGGACACCACTAGCAGGGCAGGGACACCACTAGCAGGGACACCGCTGGCAGGGACACCACTAGCAGGGACACCACTAGCAGGGCAGGGACACCACTAGCAGGGACACCGCTGGCAGGGACACCACTAGCAGGGACACCACTAGCAGGGACACCACTAGCAGGGACACGACTAGCAGGGACACCACTAGCAGGGACACCACTAGCAGGGACACCACTAGCAGGGACACCACTAGCAGGGACACAACTAGCAGGGACACCACTAGCAGGGACACCACTAGCAGGGACACGACTAGCAGGGACACCACTAGCAGGGACACCACTAGCAGGGCAGGGACACCACTAGCAGGGACACGACTAGCAGGGACACGACTAGCAGGGACACCACTAGCAGGGACACCACTGGCAGGGACACCACTAGCAGGGACACCACTAGCAGGGACACCACTAGCAGGGCAGAGACACCACTAGCAGGGCAGGGACACCACTAGCAGGGACACGACTAGCAGGGACACCACTGGCAGGGACACGACTAGCAGGGACACCACTAGCAGGGCAGGGACACCACTAGCAGGGACATGACTAGCAGGGATACCACTAGCAGGGACACGACTAGCAGGGACACCACTGGCAGGGACACGACTAGCAGGGACACCACTAGCAGGGCAGGGACACCACTAGCAGGGACACCACTAGCAGGGACACCACTAGCAGGGACACCACTGGTAGGGCAGGGACACCACTAGCAGGGACACCACTGGCAGGGACACCACTAGCAGAGACACCACTAGCAGGGACACCACTGGCAGGGCATGGACACCACTGGCAGGGACACCACTGGCAGGAACACCACTAGCAGGGACACCACTAGCAGGGCAGGGACACCACTGGCAGGGACACCACTGGCAGGAAGACCACTGGCAGGGACACTACTAGCAGGGACACCACAGCAGGGAGAGGCAAGGTGAGAACCCCAGCTGTTGACTCACTGTACGTCTCCGGGACAATCGCTTCCTCGGGGGCACATTTGTCTCCAAGGGACAAAGCCATCCCACGCCCAGCCTCAAGGGCTCTGAGGAGGTGCACCAGAAAAAGGGAGAAGGAAGGGCGGCTCAGAACGAGGTGTCCTTTTAGGAAAAATGTGGTTTCTCAGCCTTAGTAAGTTTCCTGTGCTCAGGGCTCTCTGGGCACTTGGGAACCTCTCAGCTGAACCTTCGCCACACCCTGTGAACTAGGTCCTTTCTCGTTTCCACTTCACAGAGGAGCGAACTGAAGCTCAGAGGGGTCAGATCATTCGCCCCTCACAGCCGTGCTGCGTTTCCTTGTTGTTGTTATTTGTTTTGTTTTCTTTTGTTTTTATTGATTTTAGAGAGAGAGGAAGGGAGAGGGAGAGAGAGAAACATTGGTGAGAGAGAACAATGATTGGCCACCTCCTGCAGGTCCTCCACTGGGGATCAGGCCCACAGCCTGGGCATGTGCCCTGACCGGGAATCGAACTGGCAACCTCTTGGTGCAGGGATCGATGCTCAACCACTGAGCCACACCGGCCGGACTGCGCTGCATTTTTCATTGTGAAAGAACATGAGTTCAGTGCAGCCGTCTTACATCATTTCCCTTTACCATCAACCCAACCAGGGGCCCCGGCTCTCTGGGGCCTCCCCCCGGGGAACTGGGGTGTTTGCACTGTCTGCAAGGACCACCCTAGCCCAGCCCGGCCACGTCAGCACGGCACGCTGACAGACTCACGCAGACTTGGAGCGGGGGGTCCTTCCCTGCCGGATGACACATTCCTGCTGTCCCGGCTCCAGCTTCTGGAGGCTCGGGCTCTGGCCGCAGCTCACTGTGTGGGGAAGGCCAGGCCGGGCAGGTCTGCTTTCCCACTGAGGGGTCTCGGACTTGAGAGGCCCTGTGCGCTGGAGGCCCCCTCCCTGCCATTGTGTGTGAGCACCTGGTGCTGGGAAGGCCCAGGGACAGTAAAAACACGCTCTCCAGAATGCGAGGAAGGACATGATGTCATCGCTGGCTCAGTGCAGTCCTGCTGGGGACATTGAGGCAGAACAAGTTCCGCCACAGGATGGGCTGACACAGGACAGGGAGCCCTGAGGCAGGGTCTAGGGTTGAATCCTGCAGAACAAATCGGCAGGGTCCATTCTGTGCAAACATGTCCAGCCCGCTTCTTTTCCCTCTGGTACAGTCTCCTTACCTTGTGGATAGTGTATCGGAACCCCATGCACCCCAAAGAGGCTCAGAAAACACCCAGAACCTGCAGCACTGTTCACAGAAGGCACAGGACCGCCGTGTGAGACATCACCTTCCGAGCAGTCTCCGAAGAACCTGTGTGCAGATGCCAGGGTGGTTGTGGAAGCCGAAACTTCATGCGCCAACAGGGCATTTGACGGCACTGAGACCAAAGATCCAGTTGGTTTTTCTCGGTGTAACCCTGGCACCCCAGCAGACCCTCTGAGGTTCCTGTCGACTCTATTTTTGTCCCTATGTCTGGGAAAACTGACTAAATTTCCTTTGATTTGGAACCAAGCCCAACTCTGAAGTCGGGTGGATGTACCACACTTCCGCACCCAAGTTTCCGTAGGTTTGAAAACAAGCTGGTGCCGCAGAAACAGCTGTGCTAACAACACGGTTCTTATCTGTCCCAGGGAGCCCTGCCGGGCGTCCGGGGAGCTGCGGCAGGGACCCAACAGAGGCGGGCCACACCCCACGGGGCCCCAGCCGCAAAGAGCTGGTGCATCAGATAAGGGGCCTCGCCGAAAACCCTTAAAGGACCAGAAGAGTGGGATTATCACCGTGAGGGACTCTCCCCCCAAAACTGCCTGTTGAACCTCTTCCGGAAAGACTGGCCTGATGGTCCTCGTGCCACCTGTCATCACCTCCCTCGGCACTTCAACACCCACGTCCAAATTGGCACGGGTTGGACATGGTGGGCACCACGCTGAGTGGTCCTGTCTCCTTGAGCACAGGTTCTAGCTTTCTGATCAACCTTGTCATCAGCCACAAGCCCCGGGGGCGGCCACCTAAGTGTGCTCTCACCTGTGTGTCCTCTCCCATCGTGCAGGGCGAGCAAATCCACCCTGGCCCTTTGCACTGTTGGGGCCTTTCTGCATCTGCCCGCTGCCTCCGTGGTCCTCAACCCCGGCTGCACAGCAAAAGCACCCAGGGAGCCTTAGAAACTACACCTGCTCACCCCGACACTCTGATTTACCTGGTCGGGGATGCAACTCAGGCCTTGGCTTTTTTTTTTTTTTTTTAATCCTCACCTGAGGACATTTTTCCATTTTTTGTTCAGATAGAGTGGGAGGGAGAGAGAGGAACAGAGAGAGAGAGAGAGAGAGAAACATCGACATGAAAGGGGCACATCGAGTGGCTGCCACCCACACGACCCAACCAGGGCCGGGGACAAACTGCAACCGAGGTACGTGCCCTTAGCGGGAACTGAACCTGGGTCTCTCTGGACCACGGGCCGACGCTCTACACCTTGGCATTTTTTAAATGTGCGGCCAGGACCCAGGATCTCCACTCCAGAGTTTGGACACGAACTTGGAGCTAGAGATTGCTAACCCAGCGGCTGGGAGGTTGAAACAGGTAAGCCAGGAGAGGGGTAAACCCACTCGTGAACTCAGCCGTGTGCAGAGAAGCAAAGCCAGCAACAAAGCACATGATTGGACTGGGCTGCTGCCATGGGGAAGGGGCTTGGCCCCACATTCGAATCTTCCTCCCTTTCATAGAAGAGATTATGAGTTCTGGGCAGGACGATATTAAATATTCATCCATGAGTGTGGCCCAGACACTGGCCCTCGGACGGGTCGCTGACCACCAGGTGGGGGGCCTGCTGAAGGCTGGTTCTGAGACTCCGTGCTCACCCTTAGGACTCACCTCCACAGTCACTGCTCAACAAAATGCTCATGAACATTTGATTTTGTTAATGATTTTAAGACATTTTGCATTTTAGCCCTGGCCTGTTTTGCTCAGCGGTTAGAGCGCCAGCCCACAGACCAACAAGTCACGGGTTTGATTCCGGTCCAGATCACGTACCTCAGTTGCGATTCATCCCTGGCCCTGGGCAGGGTTGTGCGGGAAGCAACCAGTCAATGTGTCTCTTTCACATTGATGTTTCTGTCTCTCTCCCTCTCTCTCACTCTACCTAAACAAAAATGGAAGAATATCCTCTGGTGAGGATTAAAAAAATTTTTTTTTGCATTTTAAATTTCTTATTCCTCTTTTGAGAGTGAAAACGTAACGTTTGCTTGTTGTAGGAAATGCAGAAAAGCAAATAAAGAAAACCAAAGTCAGTCCAGCTGGTGTGGCTCAGTGGCTGAGCATCAAGAGGTCGCTGGTTCGATTCCTGGTCAGGGCACATGCCCAGGTTGTGGGCCTGATCCCCATTGGGGGGCATGCAGGAGGCGGCCAGTCGATGTTCTCTTTCATCGATGTTTCTGTCTCTCTCTCCCTCTCACTTCTTCTCTCTCTAAAATCAATAAAGAAAAAAATTTTTTAAAAAAAGAAAGAAAACCAAAATCATCCACCATCAGGAGACCGCCACCATGAACGCACACAGGTGCCTCTCACCCCTCCTGCTCAGAAAGCCCACCTGCACCTTCCTCTGCTCATCAGTGGCAGGTGCCGTCCTTGATGAGCAGTCAGAGGAAAGTCCCAGTGGTCCTGAAGCCTCCCCAGGTGACTCACCAGTGCTCATCGTCCCAAGGGAATAGGAAGGGGGTGGAAATCTTCCCCCTATTTGAAGAGAAAGGGCATGTGAGTAACCAGTTTGGGATGGGACCTCCGGAGGGCACACTGAGTCAATTAGCAAACATTCCTGGAGTGCAAGGAATTTGGGGCCTACAAACACCTGACACCCCAGTCTCTGCCCTTGAGGGCTTTACTAACAGTTAAAGAAATCACACACACACACACACACACACACAGATTAAATGAGTTAATAACCATAAAGTGCTTAAAATAGTACCAAGAACATACTGAGTATTCTCTAAATGTTTGCTGATAGTCTTATTTTTATTACCCAAGACACTTGGCATGTATGTTCCAAGACAGTGATAAAGATCACAGGGCTCTTTGTTCGGAGGGAGGATTGTTGGGGACCTGGAGGGGTGGGGCGGGGGCGGATTCCTGGATTCTGAGAGTGGGCAAAAACCCCAGCCCCAAGCTTTGCAAACACCCAGGGGCGAAGTCCAGTCCTCACAGAAAACCAGATCATCCCCTCCACAGTCTTCTCTGGGATGGTGGGTGACGCTGGTAGTGGCCCTCGGGCAGGATTCAGAGCCGACGGACAGTCAGGCACAGCTGTTTCCGCGGCCGCTGGGGGCTGAGCGGCTCCAGCTGTTTGCTGGGTGAACTGCAGTCTGCAGCTGAAGGGAAATCCTGAGGAGGCTGAGGGCAGGATCTGGGAAAGGCCCCGCTGCCTTGGAGAGCAGAGGGGTTTTCAGAGTCTGAGAAGGAACGGACCTGGCAGCCGGCTGCCAACAAACGGGGAGGTGGAGGGGCAGGATGTCTGCAGGGCAGGGAAGCCTGCTGTCGAGTTCTGCTGGGCAGCTGGTGTGTGAAGTGCCCCCTCTTCCGACCTCCACGAAACCTCCAGGAAAATCCACACTTCTCCCCGGGCTGGGGGCTGGATCAGAGATGCTAACAAAGTCCTGGCTGACCCCAAGCCTGTTGTGGGGTGGGCTTGCAGCAGGGACTTCCCAGGGGGTCTCACTGAGGCTCAGGGAAGCTACTCTGGTGCTCACACACAAGATGTGTGTGCAAGGACTCCACGAGGAACTACGAAATCCCCTCCACGGATGCATATCATCTGTCTTGTGCTGCAGCCGCTGGGTGGGGGATCCTGAAAACAGGCGGAGGGTGGGTGGGCCCACAGCAGATCCCTGTAATCCGCCTTTATCTACGCAAGAGGGGTGTGAGCCCAGGGATCCTGGCTCAGCCCCACCCACCCAGCAGGGCCAGGTCTATAATTCATACACCCTGGCCTCCTGGCTTCAGAGGGGCTTTGGTGGTGAAACCGCAGTACCAGCCAGTACCCGCCGCACCCTTTCCCCAGCCCCAGGGATTAGGGGGTGGGGGCTACTGCATTCTTCCTGACCACCTCATCTCCAATCTCCTGCCTGTGGGGGCTCTCAGGCATCTGTGGGCCAGGCCGGGGGCTCTAATGGCCCCTTGAGGTAGGCAGAGTAGCGTTTCAGCTGGAGAAATGAGGATGTGAGATTGTTTCTCCCCAGGAACCTCAGACCTTCCTCTGAGACAAGCCTTTTCCCATGGCCTCCGCCTCTCGCTGCCCGTGAGTCAACCCGAGCCTGGAGCCAGGAAGCACCCTCCTTAGCGCCTGGCATACCCAGCTCAGCAGCTCCAGGAGACAAAGAGCCAGACAGCAGCTCTGGGGCAGGGCCACCCCACTGCCCCTGTCCCCAGCGAGCCGCAGCCTTCTCTGCTCCCTAATGAGCCCTAGTGGGGCAGGGTCCTCGCGCTGGACATGGGCTTCTGTTCTACTCTCTCCCTGCCCCTTTCTTTCTTTTTTTTTTTTAATCCTCATCCGAGGACATTTTTTCATTTTTTATTCAGATAGAGTGGGAGGGAGAGAGAGAGAGAGAGAGAGAGAGAAACATCGACATGAAAGGGACACATCGAGTGGCTGCCTCCCACACGACCCAACCAGGGCCGGGGACAAACTGCAACCGAGGTACGTGCCCTTAGCCGGAACCGAACCGGGTCTCTCTGGACCGCAGGCTGATGCTCTAGCCGCTGAACCAAATCATCCAGGGCTCTCCCTGCCCCTTTCAACATCAGCTCTTTGAGGGCAGAACTGTCTGTGCCCTTAGCGCCTACATCCCAGGGCTTGACATAGGTCACAGCAGGGAAGAAACATGGGCACTTCTGAAGGCTTCTCTCTGCTCAGGACCTGTCTCTCATTTGTCCTTGGCAGAATGAGAGACTGTCCTGGACCAGAGCTGATCTGGGCGTCGGTTCCTGGGTCTAACCAGGTTCTGCTCTCTGCATTGGCAGCCCATGTGGAAACCCACGGCGGGAGGGAGGGGCTGGGTCCTCAGCTGTCCAGCGCTCCCACACCTCCTGGAGGCTCCCTCCACCCCTGCCAGGTCAAAGCCCACAGAGATCTGACCGACTCCATGGTCAACGGGTTGTCTCCCTTGAAGTGCGTCCAGTTCACATTTCCTCTCCAGAGGAGATAAACAACAAGCTTGGTGACATCAGTGTGGCCACCCAGGGCTCAAAGCCAGGACGATTATTCACAGGATCCTCTGAATTTGAGTTCATGTTGGTGCTAATGTCTCAGTATCATCTACTCGCCTCCACACCAACCTCGAGAGATGGGGAGGGCAGTTATTCCTGTCTCTGTTTTACCCAACAGCAGACGGAGACAGAAGAGTTCCGCGGCTTGCCCAAGGTGTCATAGCCACCACGTGGCCGCCGAATTAAACCTCAAGCTCCTGGCTCTTCTCTGCGAACTGTGCACGGGAGAGACAGGGTGCCCAGCGCAGTTCCCTCCCCTGGCCCCCTGGGCTGCTGGGGTGGAGGGAGAGGAGAACCGCTCACTGTGAACCGCCAGGATGAGGCTGCACCTGCAACAATCAGCCATTTGTTCACTCGTCGAATATTTATTAAGCACCTACCTGGTACCGAGTCCTGTGCTAGGAGCTGGTGAGCCAGTTCCAAGTGGGACTTGTGAAAGGAGTT